TGGACACGCACTAACTCTTGGGAAATGCAAGTTTGCCAAGCCTTGGAAACTGCCGGACAATCATGGATAGATACAGCCGGCTCCCGCCGAAACGGCAGCCGGACCTGCGCCGCCAGCTTTTGCTGAGTTAGCAGCGCCACCGCCCGAGGCGCCAGCCGTATCACCACTTGCGCGGCCGAGAGCATCGAGACCCGGCTCCAGAGCCGGACCTACATCACTGTAGGAAGACATGCTGCTGAACTCGCTGCAGGGCAACTTGCCTCGAGCGGAGCTGGTAGTTCGGATGGCCAGCTCCGACTACCACAGGTTAGAGTCAGACGTGGTCGACAAAAAGGTGGAAAAGCACCTCCACCACCGCCAGCGGGGAACCCTACTGCACCACCGCGACTACCAGACTGTCCACGGTTCGATGTGCAAATCAGTTTACAAAAATTACGGAGCCTTGACCCCAGCGCGGTAACACGCAAGTTGCGGAAATTACACTTGCGTTGGTTCCATGCGAAAGAGCCCAAGATGAGACTCATCTTAAGCAAGATAGGTCTGGACAGTGTCAGACTCAACCTGATTAGAGGTGTCTGCGACACATGCCGAGAGTGCAGAGCTTGGGACAAGCCTGGGCACACTGTTCTGCCCTCTAGTGCACTACCTGGTAAGTTTAATGAGGAAGTGGTATGTGATCTGATGTTCTACGAACAAGGATACCATATCTTCCATATCATCGATAGCTGTATACGAAATGCTATTGGGATTGGGATACCAGACAAGACTATGACCAGCATCCTGGCTGGATGCAGTTTGGACCGGCAAAGGTACTTTACTCTGATGGAGAGGGTGCCCTTAACAACGACGCTGCGAAAGCAGTCCTCAAGGCAAAAGGCATTGAACTTAGGATACGTGCGCGAGGACAGCGCGCTACAGCAACCGAGGCCAGAAATGACATCCTGCGCTATCTACTTTACGCCATGGAGGCTGAACTCAATAGGCTAGATATATCTCTTGTGTTCGCCCGACTACTGCACGAGGCTCTGTTCGCCGCCACCGCGTTCACTTTCTATAACGAGGTGTCTCCATATAACGCTCTGTTTTGACGGCGACCAGCAATGCTCCCTGACCTACCTGTCTTAGACCACGAACAGCCGACGGAAACGTCGGGCCATTCTCGTGAACAGACGATACGCAGGGCATGTATTGAAGCTATCACACAGGCCACAGCAGCTAAGACCAATCGTACCTTACGCACTGAAGCGATTATTACTGGTCAGCACTATTACGATGAAGGAGACTTGGTCGATTATCATCGCCCCACGACCACGAAGGATGACTGGGGAGGCTGGAATGGCCCGTTCCCAGTTGTAAAGAATGATCCCGAAAGGGGCCAGGTCATCATCCGAGTGGGCAGTCGAGATGATCAAGTACAACACGGCGATGCAAGGCATTCATTATACATTGAAGCACTAATAGCCAGAGAGAATGGCTCCGACAACACTGCACTACGCACAGTGGTAACATTCGTAGCCAGCCAATCAGCGGGGAGACCTGCTTTGACCTCTGGCTATGTGCCGACCGAGAAAGGGGCGCTTCAGATGGCGACTGCAAGCCGTTTATCTCCCAAAGTACACATAGCTCTACAGTGCCTTATGAGAATTCTTTCGTATTGAGACTGTCGTTTCAGTCAGGTTAGCTAAGTGTATTCATAAGCTGCCTCCAGCCACTTATGCCGACAGCTGCACATTGGTCCACTACGACAACGACGTGAATCCAGGATTCCATCATTATGAAACAGAAGGTGCTGCTCTGAATATACACGATATACTTGGATCAGCATATCCGAGAATGATTCAATGTCTGAAGTCCACTAAACCTCAAGCAGGTTTTGATCAGGACATGTCCAAATGTTTGAGGAATTGGCAGATACACCGGCACCGGAGGAAACCACAAGAGAAGCTCCAGAAGCCGAACCACCACATGATGATGGGCGGCTTTCTACGATTTACGAAGAATCAGAGGTCGAGATTGAGTCGCATGTTATGGAAGTGTGGTATGCAGAATTTCAACAGGAAGTGGAATTGTTGGAGGCAGCTCCACCAGAGAACCTCTTCGCCATACCTACCCAGATTGTTCCAGATCCAAGTGCGCTGATCACTGTAGCTGATGAACAGCGGGGACCTGCCGAAATGGGGGCACACTCACGACTCTGATACCGAGGAGACGTACTACGCCCCAATGTGCACCATAGTCGAAGACGACAACTACGGACTGGACTCAGATGAAAATGGTCGATATGTCGAACTTTGCTTTACAACAGAAATGGCAAAGGTAGTCCTGTCCGAGCAACACCATATGATACTAGATGCCGACCGGGCAACCACTATCCGAGTATACGTAAGCGCCGCTGCAAGGCGAGCTGTGATCGTTGAGGAAGACGAACTCCTCGCCAGGGCGGGCATCCAGGCGAAGCCCGATCAAGTACCGAAGGCGCTCTACACTGAACTCGAGACACGGTTCGATAACAAGTGCTTGAATATTCCAATGCAAGGTCTAGCTAAAGCGTCGAACATCATGACTTCGAGATATGTGTACAAATGGAAGTTCGCGAAGAACGAGAAGGGCGAGATGGAACGTACCATCAGACTACGCTTGGTTCTCCAAGGTTTCATGGACCTTGAAGCCTTCGACGTAGAAACATGTTCGGGAACAGCGCGGCGGTCAAGCCAGAGGTTACTCGCCAGCACGGCAGCGTGCACGAAGCAGTGGATCACTGCTTCCCTCGACATCAACATGGCCTTCCTGAAAGTACTGACCGATCAGGAACTTGCTGAGGCTACCGGTGAAAAGGAACGTGTGGTGTGTTTTACTTTGCCGCCTGGGTCGGCCACAGTGCTCCGAACTCTCCTAGGATTCGAGCACTATGACGAGTCAAAGCACTGCCTGCAGTGTTTGAAACTAGGCGCAGGCACCAAAGACGCTCCACGGGCTTTCTAACTTAAGGAGGACCACCAGAGGCTTCGGTCTCCGACCCACGTCCTACGACGAGGAGTTCGAGACAAGCAACAACTTGCTCGCGGCCAAGCAGTTGATGACATGAATACGGCCGGTACTGAGGACACCATTGTCAAGTGTGTCAAATGCGTTGGTGATACTGTTGGCAAGTGTAATCTCAACAGGCACACATGCAGCAACTGCGCTTTGATATAAACCAAGGATGAGGACGGCAATGTTACTGTGGACCTAGATGAATATATCGAACAGCTCCGTCCTATACTGCATCCCGAATTGACCGGCGTCGACGCTGACGCTCAGGCAACCAAGACGGTTGCAGATATGTTTGTCAGCCTCAGGGGCGCGCTGGCGCATGCATTAATCACCCAGGCGTGGTTGATGGTGTATGTTGTTTCTCTACAGCGTGTCCAAGAACCGACCAACATCCAAGTGCGACGACTGAACGCCATCACCAGAAAGTTACAGGCCTGCCCGAAGAAGATCGTCTACCAGGCGATGAATCCCACGGGCGAGGTCGACCTACATAGCGACTCAGGATACCGACGCCTGAGTGGAGACGCCGATGGCGACGTCAAAGGCTATGGTATTCGCGGGGCAAGCCTGCTACGACGTGGAAACACGTCATCTGGCAAGCCTGTCGTTCATTTGATCGATGCGCACTGCAAGTCTCGCCGCTTGCAGGTCCGCTCGAGCTATTCAGCAGAGACACTAGCAGCAGCCCATAATTTGGAGGACTGTTATCCCACGATTGTGACTTTGCACGAGCTCCACGCAGGGCCGCTCGCGCCCACTCAGTTGAAAGATCTACTGGAATAGGGTGACCTGAGCATCAAGGTCACCTTGACCATCGATACTGAGTCTGTTTGTAAGTCCTTGTCAAGCAAAGCCTTGAAGAAGCCGACTGCGTGTATCCTTTTAGGACACATCAGTTGGATACGACAGAGGATGGAGCGTGGAATCGCGCGCAGCATCCAGTGGTGCATCCAGCGGATGGTCACGCCAAGGGGAGCATCGACAGAGAAATGCTCCTACAAGTCATGGGAGGTATACAGGCCTTCAAACATGACCTGAAGAGACATGCTCCATATCGGGCTGGCCAGACATCAAGCTCTGACGCCGCCTGATGAGTACGTCGCGTACAGAACTGTACAAGCGAGGCAACTTGCGAGCGGGTCCACCTTCCTTTTGGCCCGCTTCCTCTTCTGTCCTTCTGTATGTTAGCTGCTGTGCCTGCTGTGTAGGGGCGACGGGCTCACGCTTCGTCTCCCTCCCCCCCGACTCTAAAGCGAGCTGAGGGACGTAAGGAGTGGAAGCGAGCGTGCGCCCGCGGCCGCGTCGGCTCAAACGGCCGGCCGCCCAAAAATGACTGCGCCTCATTGCGAGGCACACAATCGCTTTCGAGACCAAAAGGATCTTCCTACTGCTTGAGATGGCACATCCTCTCATACTGGGACTGTCGTTGCTACGATACAACAGAGCGGGAGCTTGGCTTCGCCTGAGGCGAAGCTGCTGGCTGGGCCTCCCAGCCCCTTCAGACTATGCCAGGCTCAGTTCTTATGTAGCAGACGACGTCGATCCGAAGGCCGTGCGCGCGCCGGGATCTAAGTGCGCAGTTGCGTAATGCACCCGTTTCTTTGCACACGTGAATACATGTGGCATGGCCGGTTTCGTATGGTTTACATGTTGTTGGTGCTTGCCCAGCTTACCTGACGCTACGTGGGCAGCGCTGTCTCTCTAAGCTTCTTATAGTGATGTCACCTGCTGGTCTTGTATCCACCATACGCTTTCTCGAGTGGATTCGCATGAGGCTGCTGCGGAACCTTGCACGCCACGCTCGTAAGCATACACGTATGTCAGGTTATACGCCGCCCTGTCGACCACCAGTTCGGGGGCCAGAGCCTCGGACAAGAGGGCTCTTGGACCCCGAGGGCACGGCCTTGCCGTCTCCTTCCCTTTCCCCGCATCCCGCCACCTTGCCTCGCGCATCGCCTCTTCATCGCAGCTGTTTTCCTCTCCGGCCCACCCCCTCCCCTCCTCGCCCTCCGTCCCCCTCACCTCCCCTGGGCCATGGCCGACCTCGCCGCCGCCTCCACGCCCGCCCCGCCCGCTGGCTGGCGGCCACCCCCGCGCGCCGCTCCAGCCTGGGCGACGGCGCGCCGTGGTCGGCCCGCTTGGCGACAGGCGACCCTGCGCAGCCAGCGCGAGGCGCGGCGGCCCCTTCTCCTCCTCGGGGGCGGAAGCGCCTCGAATGGCCTCCTGTGTGTCAGCCGCTCGACGGAGGGCCGGATGTACCACGTGGCCCTGAAAGGTGGCCTTACCTTCCGCCGCCCCATGCTTGGCCAGAAACATGGTGGCCAGGCTGGGGTGAGGCGGTGGAGGAGTGCGAGAGGAGGGACGGTTTTTGGCGCTGATGGTGGCAGGTGGTGGCCAGGTCGAGGCGAGCTTCGGGCAGGACTTGTGGGCGCACTGGCCGACGTCGTCCCGTCAGCTCTTTTAAACATCTGGCGGCCATCGCTTTTCCTCCTCCTCCTCCTCCTCTTCCTCCTCTTTCTCCTCCTCCTCTTCCTCCTCCTGTTCTTATTACTGGTCCTCCTCCTCTCGACGCTGCTGCTGCTCCTCCTCGTCCATTCCCCCGCTCCTCCACTTTTCTCCCTTCCTCCCGCTTTCCTCCATCCTCCCTCCTGTTCCTCCATTCCCCTCCTCCTCCTACTCCTCCTCCTCCTCCTCCTCCTCCTCCTCCTCCTCCTCCTCCTCCCAGTGCCCCTAGAATATTGCAGAACCCTGTAGACATTCAAACCACCTGGACCTAGATGAAGCTGAAGCTCTTCAACATCTGTTCCACCTCATCCATCCTACTCCCACACTCTATATCTTCCTTGTTCTCCCTCTCCTGATTTCTTGTCCCCCTCCCCTCCCCCTCCTGCCCTCCTGTTCCTGATCTTCCCATTCCCTATGCGCATGCGATTGCGGGGAGCGAGCCCTCCTTGCCCGTGCACCGCCGATCGGCTCTGAGCCAATGGTGGCGCAGAGATTGGTTGGTTCTTGCCAGATGCCGCGCTGGTCCTGCTGCATTCCCCCCCGGGAGGAGGAGGAGGAGAAGGAGGAAAAGGAGGAGGGGGAGGAGGGGGGCTTGGGGCACTGCTTGATACTCTTACGGACGATTTCAGGGGTAGAGCTTGCCTGGGGGCGGCAGCGGCTCGTCGATGGGAACGGTGCTAGCCCCCATGAGGGGAGGCGGATTGGATGATCATGCGACTTGCAACGACCGTACATCGATTGTCACCAGCATTTTCACCGGTCAGATTGTATGGAAAACGCGGGTTCTAGCGGTTGCATGAGCATATGTTCTTTCCCCTTTGTCCACCATCGCATCGTTTCTTCTCCTCCTCCTCCTCCTCCCCACCACCACCATCATCGTCATCATCAGCAGCATCATCATCAGCAGCAGCATCAGCATCGTCAGCATCATCATCATCATCGTCGTCATCATCATCACCATCATCACCACCACCAGCATCATCACCATCATCGTCAATAGCAACATCAGTGTCATCATCATCATCATCATCATCATCATCATCAGCATCAGCATCAGCATCAGCATCAGCATCATCAGCATCATCATCATCGTCGCCATCACCATCACCATCATCAGCAAAATCAGCATCATCATCATCATCATTTCCGTTGCATGCCGCCATATTCGGGCACGATCTTGCTTTCACTTGTCTTAAGGCGCTGCGCTTCCAGAAGAGGACGCGGCCAGCGGGGGTGGAAGGGCTCCTCCGCGCACTCGCACGAGCTATTGCCAAGAGGAAGGTGGCGATTAGGAAGCTTCTGACTCATCGGTAGCTCTTCCTCAATACGGTCTGACATGAAGCCTCCTCCTCCTCCTCCATTCCTTTTCCTTATAAGCAATTTCTCCCTGTCGCACCCGGGGCAAGTTTTTAGAGCGGGCCGGGCGTTCCGCCTCAGACTTTCTCACAATGTATGACCTTGTAGCTTAAAATAGTGGCAGGAGCTTCGCGGATTGAGGGCGGGTCGTTTTTCAAATGTGTCTCTCGCCTTAGCGCCGCGCATTTTCGTTTTAAAGATTTGCAAGATTTCCACGGAGTGAGGGCGAGTCGTTTTCAAAGTGTGATTCTCGCCTTAGCGCCGCGCACATTCGTTGTCAAATTGCAAGAGCTTCACGGAGGGAGCACGGGTAGTTTTCAACATGCGGTCTTGCCTTAGCGCCGCGCACATTCGTTGTCAAAATTTGCAAGAGTTTCACGGATTGAGCACGGGTAGTTTTCAACATGTGGTGTTTGCCTTAGCGCCGCGCACATTCGTGGTAAACGTTTGCAAGAGTCTCACAGATTTAGGGCGGGTCGTTTTCGAAATGTGGTTCTCGCTTCTGCGACTCGCACATTCGTTTTTAACACTTGCAAGGGTTGCATGGATTCTTTTGACCAGCCTGCCAGGAATCGTGTTTTGGAAGGGTTTGGGATTATGAGGGTGCAACAGTGACATTGGTTTGCGGTGTTGAAGTCCCAAGAATGCGTCTGGCACGATTCAGGATCGCCGAGACGCAACAGTCAGGTTTGGCATGCTTCAGGGTCTTCAAACGGCTGTCTTCCGACGAAGCGGTTCCCTCAGTGGAAATGAATCGCTGTAGGGGCCCAAGAAGAGGGAGCTTGGAGGGAGGGTTTATCCCATCATCGCTGATGACTCTTGGGTTTACACTGGTCCTTCTCCTCATCATCCTCCTCCTCTCTCGGGGGACACTTTAGAGACGATATGGGCGTTCCTGAACAATCTGCGAGCTCGCAGATTCAGCTGTGATCGTCCCGCTCGTCCGGCACGCATGCTGAGGCCCTCGCCCAGCAAGCAGTAACAGCTGCTCAATGAGCTCACACGAGTGCCGATCGTGCACCCAAACGGCGAGCACGGATTGGCGCGCTTACAGCATCAGCCTCGAATGCAGTTGAGGAGGAGGAGGAGGAGGAGGAAGAAGGGGAGGAATCTGACCTGCAGACGTGTTGCGCTTTGCCAGCCTTTCTCCTTCAGCCCCCTCGCTACCGCTGGCCCTCCGCATTGCCCCGCAGGGTGCCGAGCAGCCGCGGACGCCTGCCTCCGGGAGCTCGGCTGCCGCTAGATCGCTCGCGGCCGCGGCGGCGGCCGCCGCGGCCACCGCGGCATCCGCGCGTGCTCAGCGGGGCGGTTGTGGTCATGGTGGCTGGCGCGCCAGCGGACGGGCAGGCGTCCGCGTGGCGCGGCGGCAAGGCACGCACGCCGCCGAGGACCTGCTGCAGCCGGGGGCTCCTCGAGGGGAGGGGGGGGGGTGCAGTGGCCTGCACGGCCTGCCCGCCGTGCCAGCCAGAGTGGCCCTGGGAGAGAGAGAGAGAGAGAGATAGAGAGAAAGAGAAAGAGAGTGAGAGAGAGAGGGAGTGGGAGAGAGGGGGAGCCAATTCTAGCTCGACGGGCGCTGGCCTGCAAATGATGGCCATGGTGCGCCGCTTGACTTCCCCTGGCCGGGCGCACGGCTTGAGAGCCGAGTCCGCACATATTAGGGGGCATGTTCATGTGGCAGTGGATGTTCATAGTATTTATTGTTTTAGGCGTTCGGGTCGATTCTGACAATTCGATCGAACCTGCAAGCGATTTCGCTGCAGGAAGCTATACGGCACTGTTGTGGTACTGTCAGGGGCGAGTGATTCATTGGCTGACGTCGCACCGCCGACCCCGTGGGGGGATTGAACAAGTTACAACCAACTAGAGGAAACAAACCCAAACCCTATATAATGTTTCCAAGCTCTTTGGTATTGCGTAACTCCAACCATTTTACTATGAATACCAGCCAACCTCCCTGAGACGCCCCACGGGTGTCTCAGAGGCGTCGTGCTCCAGGTTGCGCTTGGCGCTTGCCAGGTGCCGTTATTCGCGGGGAGTGTCCTTTCCCGTGTTCGCGGGATGCGAGGGAGCTTGCTCCAACTTCTGATTCACCTCAGTCACCTCCTCCTCCTCCTCCTCCGCCTCTCCTCTTCCCCCCCCCTCCTCCCCCTCCTCATCCTCCTCATTCCCCTCCTCCTCAGCCCGCACCAGGCACGATGAAGGCCTGGGAGGTGTTGGCCTTTTTTGCGGATTCTCATGGGCTCCTTTTTGGATTCCGATGGGTTCCTATGGGTTTCGGAAGGTTCTTATGGGTCCCTGAGTATTTGAAGTATTCTTTCGGATTCCAAGGGATTCTTGCGGACTCCTGGGGGTTCCTTAGCAAGGATAAAGAGTTCTTACCAAGGATTGCTTATTCAGAATTCCTGAATATGAATTCCTGACTGAGGGTTCTTCGCTAACAATACCGTACGCAGGATTCTATAATCAGGATTCATTACTGAGGGTTCCTCCCCAATCATTCCACATCAAGGGTTCCTCACGGAGGATTCCTTACCAACGAGTCCTTACTAAGGATTCATCAGAAGACATCATCCGCCACGGATCCCTCATTATGGAGTGCTTATGCCAGATTCTTGGTAAGGGCTCTTCACTAAGGAGTTCTCATTAAGGATTCCTGGTTCGACTCCTTAGTACGGGTTCCTTATGAAGAGTTCCCAAGCAATCCTCATTCGGGATTCCTTGCCCAGGGCTCATTGTCACGGGTGCCTTATTATGGGCCTCCTAGAGGGGTTCCTCACGAAGGACAACTGACCAAAGGTTATATATATGTGTGTGTATATATAACGAGGGCTCCATGATTAAGCATATTTGACAAAAGGATTCCTTATTGAGGAGTTTTTGTTCTAAGGGATCCTCAGTAAGGGGTCTGCAATAATTCTAGACGCTTCGCGTATCCCCACCAGCCCGTCCAGAAACGACGCCCAGGCGAGTAGAGGGTCGGTCTGAGGGGCTTTTCGGCGTCTTGGGTGCCTCGGGGGGGCCTCTGTGGGCCGTTCGGGATCCTCTTTGGGGCCTCCTGGGGGCCTCTTGGGGCCTCTTGGGGCCATCTTGGGGCCTTTGGGGGCCTCCTGGGTGCTTCTTGGGGCCTCCTGGGCGCTTCTTGGGTGCCTCTGGGGGGTCTCTTGGGGCCTCCTGGGGGTCTCTTGGGGGCCTCCTGAGGGCCTCTTGGGGGGCCTCGGAGCCATCTTGGAGGAGATCGATCAACGAAGGGGGGGTCCCTAATTACAGTCCCCCCCGCAGGAGCCACGATCCTCGTGAGGGGTGTCGAACTTTAGCCCTCCCAGGGGTCGATCTTGGGCGCTCCAACGCGCCGCGGAACCCCCTGTCCAGGTCAGCGGGGAAGGGGTAGGGGGAGGGGTAAACCCCTCCCCGAAGGGGAAGAAGGAGGGGTGGAAGAGGAACCGCTCTAAACCACCGACGCCCAGAGGGCTGGTGGGATTATTTGTCAATACGGATTCCCCACGCAGGATTCTTTATTCCTTCCGGAGGGTCCCTTATTCAGGAACCCTTCAACCAGGATTCCTTGCCACGGGTTCTTTATTGAGGGCTCCTTATTTGCCAGGTATTAAAGCTGTTGACCATCGATGGAGAATTGCTTAGCATGCCCCGCGTGCCGCGGGCGACCGATTACGACGCAAAAGTGCCCTGATGTGGATTCGCGAGACTTCGTGAGCTTTCTGGGATGGCACTTCAGCGAAGCAAGAGCGACCGCATTGGACAAGGATTCCCAGGGCCACAGTACGTCAAAGCGGGAACGAATACAATGGAACATCGCGTTGACACCGGCATGAGAACGACGATGGCGAAGAAGCCGTTGAAAATCTCAAGTGGCCCATGCAAGGCGATTGCGCTGCGAGCGGGTCCAAATTAGAGTGGCTTCAAGGGCCAATGTTTCTGGGACGGGCTAGCTATCACACCGCTATACATATTTGCATGAATAGATGAGTTGTTGCTAACCTGTATATATGTTTTATAGATATATGGATGAATGTACCAGGTCCCCAGCCCGGGGGCCCCGCCCACCTCAAAACCATCGGGCCCTCTTTTTAATACCCCCGCCCTGGCGCCTCCAAGGGGCCTCCAGATCGCCCAGGAGGCCTCCAGGAGGCCTCAAGGACGGCCCCAGGAAGCACCCAAGATGTCCATGAGGGTTCCGAGACGCCATAAGATCGGTCCAAGACAGTCAAGATAGTCCCTAGACGGCCCAAGAGGCTTCCAAGACAGTAAATATGCTCCTCTCCGCCTCATCTTCATGCTGCTTATCGCATCGCTTGCCTTGCTGCGCACTGTGTGACTATGATTGCGGTAGCCTTCCGCAGCCGCGTGTGCTTACAGGAGATAAAAGGAGCGTGTTGGCTCGCACGCGCGCGCCGAGGGGCGCTCCCTCGTCGTAGTCGTGTCGTCGGCCGGCCGGCCTCCTCACTTACTATTCCTGATAGAGTACATTCGCTTACCGGTTACTTGTCTTATCGATGTCTCATCCCGTATCTTGTTCCACTGACCAGAGTGAACATGAGACCTTAATTCCTTTGCCATCTTACCCCGATTCTCAGAGGAAAGATTGGTTATCAGCCGAAGCCCGTGACATAGTCGCTACGGGTATGAGCTATGATGAGACAGATGAAATGTCCGTCGCTTCGCGAAATGCTGAGCTGCAAGTTGTACAACGCGACGGACATGAACTACAGGAGAGCGGCCCGGGGCAGGGCCGCCTTCCAATTTCTAGTATTGCCACTCGGGTCTCTAGAGGTAGAAGTAGTGGAGAGGTTGTTGATTTGTCGGAATATGATTCTCCTTCTAGAGTTCCGATCGGTGATCGAGAACAAACCCCAGACCCGCAGAGACGGAATGGTATAACAGCAAGATCCAGATGAGGGGCGTTCTCGTCTTTGATCGCCGAATCCTCGGAAACGAGAAGTCCTATTCCGATTGCTACGCAGACAATCGCGCCGGCCGCTGGCCAAGCCAGTGGGTCGGGAGAAGCCCGCGAGACCACAGGCGCGTGCCCCAACGTCCCGGACGGATGGGGAGGCACGAGTGGAACTCTTCCCATCCCAATAGCATTGAACGGACAGTTCGGCCAATATAGTAACGAGCCACTTGATAGAGAGCATGAGATAAACTCCATGGAGGAAGATTTCGAATACGCCAACAAAGGAGTTTCTTTGGGCCGAGAGTTGTCCTCGATAATGGATGCAGACCACCCCGCCCGAGGCGACAGGCGGTCCCCAGATGGTTCAGATGTTGATGCAAGTGGCCTGGCGCCTCAGGCGGTCATGGCTGATATCGAACATCAATTTCAGGCGAAGCACGATAGGGGGCCCACAGGACGGACTCCTGCACCTCAACTTAAGAAGCAGAGGAACGAGGATTATGATTTGAACGATTCACCGCTTCAGGAAGGATTCTATCGTTCTGCCGTTGCCTCAGGCGATTGACAACCCTCGATACTGGCTGTGGTTGAGGATGAAGAAATGGTTGAACATCCAGCTTCGCATACTGAGCTAGTAAGAAAGGATGAAAGGGACGAGGAGCTTCGAGAGGTGCCAAACCCGCCAGAATGCGCGCGCGCACGTCCTAGATCGAACGCTTCGAGTAGGGGGGGGGCCAAAACTACCAAGATCGGGAGCTCGGTCTGCTTCAAGGAGCAACAGTATTATATCCGTGCTTGATGCGCGCTGGAACTGGGGCCCAGACTGCACGCCGCAGGCGGAGAGCAGATGCCCGGGGAAAGCCCACAAGCCAGATGGAGCTTGTAGACGTCCAGTGCGTAAGAATTGCTCGGATGTGTGTCCCACTTGTAGCAGTCAGTGGCTGCGTGTAGATTGTCTTCCCATGAGTGGGCATAATTTCGCATTTCTTCTCATGCAAGCCATGCAGGATCCGGCTAGATTTGTCGAAGCTAAGACTCAGCGGGAGTTCCTGGCGCGCGAAGCGCAGAGGGCCGAGAAGGCCCGACTTGATCGAGAAGGAATGACCGCAACCATTGAGGATGTTCGGATGACGTTCGAGGCTGAGAGACTTGCCCTGGCCAAGGCTGCCAGAGAGCGGGAACAGGAATGGAACAAATGCGCCATCAAACCGCGGTCGCTAAGCGGCAAGCGGAGGAAGAAGCCAAGCACCGTTGCGCCGAGATGATGGCTTCCGAGCGACAGGCCGCCGTGACGGCGATTAGCCAATCTGTTGATGCCAAGACCGTTTCCGCTGCTGTTGCAGCGGCTAGAGTAGCAGGGGGGGAAATTGCTACAGCCAGGGCAGAACAAGAGAAGCAGGAGCTTCAAGAGCAAACCAACATTGCCAGGCTGGAAGTATCTAATACCCAACTTGCAGCTGCGACGAGAGTCGATCT